GTTCCAGACTCTTCGGAGTTTCGTGAGATGCGCACTGCTGATGATTCCCAATAAGGATGAATCAGCTGTACAGTGCTTCTCGGCTTTTCAGCATAGATTGGCTTCACTTACAGGACGAAATCTCCACAACAATCTCAAATCTCCTCACACTACCAACAAACACGGCCAGCTAAATCTCTCGAACAATTTTCAGCAACCTTATGAGTGGTGTATTACGTCCATACATGTGTCGCGATATCTCGAATATCATAGCAACTGAAACATGAGGCGGCCTGGTGCAACACATCACACACGAGAGGTCCAGCTGCGTTCCAGGTGAGTCTCCAGCAAAACCAAATTTGTTTGCCAGTGGGCCCTTGCTGACTCCATCCACAGCCGTGAATGCAGAAATCATTCAGGAATTCAAAGCAATTTACCGCCTCTTTTACCGACATCTTTCCTGACGACAGCCTTCTCCTGAAACCCAAGAGTGATTGTGAGTGGATGTAGAAAACTAGCGAATATATTTTGCCGCACATCCGCACACAGTCGACGATGTCAGTGGCTCTGCGTAAATTAAATCAAACTTACCAGACCCTGGTATGATCCGAACGTGAAACCTCTTTCACGTGACTGTTCAATATCCAGAATGTCCTAATTTTGGAATCAGATTTATGAGTTATTTTGAATATAAGGGGAGTGGTGAAGCGCGTTTTAATAACAGTTGTCAGTTCGTTAAAATATTTGTCTCATTTGATGATGTATTAGTACGATCTTGAATGGGGAAAGTCGATCTTTCCTTTGACAGCCATCGAGTGTCTATTAACTGGAATGGCACTGGTTTGTGAACACACTTGACGTCAATCAGACTGTCTCTCGATGTTAACACGTGACTCGATATGAGCGGGACAGGTGACGCTTGAATTCTTATTGGTCGACCGTGTGACAGCCGACTGATGTGTTCGACTGAGATCTTTCGTACGTATGCTTTTCATTGAGTGTTCAAATGAACGTTCAGCTGTAGCACCCTTTCGGTGCC